AAATAAGAAATATTGAAGTATGTTTATAAGTTTGAATAGGAAATTAAGAATAAAAAGGCTTTTATTCATTATTATTCGATATTGTATTGAATTTTTTTATTCCAAGCATAGTTACTATTTTTATTTCAATTTTCAATCTTCAATTTCAATTTTTAATTTCAATTTCAACTTTTAATTTCAATATCAAATATAAAGATATTTCTTATAAAAATGGCGAATGAGATATTTTCTTACTTGGAATTACAAGGAAATTTTGACTGTAGATCTCATGCACAAAGATAATGCAAGCTACAAAAAACTGAACGATTTAATTTAAATGTAGTAAAAATCTAGTTTGTACTATATATAACTATTTACACTATATTCTCATATATAGCAAGATGAGCCAAGCAAAATTGAATATCTTTAATAATCGTTATAATCATTATAATAATTATAATACCAGGATTCCTTTATAAGTCAAGAATTGGCCTACCTGAAAATTATGCTGTGGATTGTTCAAGTGACCTTAGGCAGGATCCAGCTTAGTCATATCTTCTGGATTACAATAGTTGAGATTTTAGGGATTCGAGTGATTTTAGAGATAGAGAGGCGAAGTAAGTTTATGAAGCACCAAGATTGTCAAGAATTTTGGTCAGTATAACCTCAGATTATGAGTACTTCTGGGGTTATCAGATTTGCCCTTTATATCATACAATTCAACTTCAAATTTGAGTTAAACTGGTTTTAATATTAACTTGATTTCTGATATTTCAATTTGGTTAACAGATAACTAGGTTTTTTTAATTTTGGCCAATTAGAATTATCACTGATCAACCTGATTAAATTCAGTTTAAGCTTAATTTAGTTTAGCTTAAATCAGTTTTTTGATTGAAAGTGGTTTGTAAATTCAAAAACTGAATTAGACCGACCTTAAGGTGAATATGGGTATTATAGTGCACTATCAATTATTGTGCAGTTTTAATATCTCATGACTTGTCGATCAGAACTGTACAATTTTAGTACCAATCGATTTGTCTTAATAAGACGAATTGATTGGTACCAAAATCATACTGTTCCGATCACTGGATCACAAGATATTGCTACCAAAATGAAACATAGTTATTAACTTTTTATATGAATTTCGCAAAGAGGAATATATGTTTATTAAAAAATTTTTTTTTTTTTAGATCATTTGTATTTTTAAATAACTAAGTGATCTTCAGTAGCCATTTGGTTATTTCAAGTCATTTAACATTATCATTACCTGTGGCCTACAAAGTTTTCTTAAGTCTTTTATTATTTTAAAGTACTACTCGAATTAAAGCTTTTTCTATATACAAATCTTTAGAATCTGTAATTATCTTGATGTTTTAAAGAATTTATTTTTGGAAATAAATTAGCATAATTTTATACTGAGTGAAAGCCAGAATATAAATATGTTATATAATTCAAATTAAGACAATAAGTAGAAGTTTATGTATTTTTGCTGTTTATAATGATCGATCGAGCAATGTAACAAATAAATTATATTAAATAAATTAATCTCATGTCATGTTTACTTTTTATACATGACAAAAAATAACTACTTTATTAAATTTTAAAAAAAAATCGAAAATTTTTAAAAAAAAATCAAAATTAAAAAAAAAATCAAAAATAAAAAAAAAAAATCAAAAATAAAAAAAAAATCAAAAATAAAAAAATACTTATTATGTCACTTAGTAAAGATAAAGCTATTCGAAATGATGCTATTGAGAAGGCCCTTAAGGCTATAAAAAATTTAAATAATTCTAAAGCCTCAAGTATAAGAAGTATTGCACAAGATTTTGATATATCAAAAACTACTCTTAGACATGTTATAAAAAATAATAGTTTTCTCAAACATTCAGGCTCTAACAAAGTTCTAACTGACTATAAAAAAGAGCAATTGGTTGGTTATTGTCTAAATATACAAAGACTTGGTTTCAGGTTATCAAGATCTGGTGTGAATTATTATATAATAGAAATTGTTCATAGAGATAAGCACCTATATCCTTTTAATAAAAATAGACCAGATCAATTGTAGTAGAAACAGTTTCTAAAAGATTATTCTGAACTTTCATTTTGCGTTTTGCAAACTCTAAATGAAGCATGAGTCCAAAAAACAAATTCTATTATAATTAATGATCATTTTAATAAACTTGAAAAAATTATTAATGAATATTCACTTACTTCTGATTGAATTTGGAACATAGATGAGACAGGTTGTTTTTTTTTTTTTTTTTTTCTGAATCATATAAGACAGGTTTTATTATTGAACCTAGCCTTCAAAAAGTCATTGCAAAAAAAGGAGCATGTCAGGTTCATTGAGTTTCACATAGTAGCAATATGAACATATCTTTATATGCCCTACTATTTCAGCTGCTAGAATATACATATTACTATTAATAATATACAAGGGTATACAGATAATTCTAGATCTTTCAGATAGTATACCTGCGAGTACTGTTATAGGGTTTACTGATACAGGATATATGCAGAGAGCCTATTCGGAAAATGCATAGAACATTTTGTTAATTCAATTCCTCCTATTCACCCTGTTTTACTAATTCTTAACAGGTATAAGAACCATGTCAATTATACTTATGTTAACTTCTGTTATAAAAATAATATTCTTCTCTATGCTCTTCTACTATATACCACCCATATTCTACAACCTGCTAAACTACCATTTGCTCAACTCAAACAAGCATATAATAGTGAATATGATAAGTTTCATACTATCAATAGCAGGCTGGTGACAAAATATATATTCGCTAAACTCTTTAGACAGGCTTATATTAAAGTATACACCTTTACTGCTATATGTAATGCTTTCAAGACAATGGGAATATAGCCATTCAATCTCAGCACCATTAGTCCTAGCTTTCTTGAACCCTCAATAGCAACACATAACTTCGACCTACTAAATTTTGAGCAACTAATTTGTCTATTTATTACACTAACTTCACTTTTGCCTTCATCGAGTTTAGTACCAAATTACCTCAGCCTGACCTCTACAAATAAAGAATTGTGAACAGAAATAAAATTACTTAACCAAAAAGTTGAACATTTCGAAGCAGAACTGGAGCTCTATAAAAATCTAGGTACCAGTTCTTTGCAGCTGGTACTTAAATATTCTTTGCAGCAACATTCAAAACAGGTTGAAGATCCAGAGGTAAATGAAGTGCAGTACGAAAATTAGCAGCCCAGGAAAAAACAGAAGACCATATCTTTCTCCTGGCTTCTTATGAGTGAGGAGTCATTGCATTTGTTGAGGGAAGTGGAAGAAGATGCGAAAAGAGTTGCCAATGAAAAAAAAAGAAAAAAAAGAGATTGCCATCCAAAAACGAATAGCATGGGAGGCAGAGAAAGCACAGAAACAAGAAATTCGCAAGCAAAAAAAAGAAGAAAGAGAGTATGCGAAGTTAGAACAACAGCGTATTAGAGAGGAAAAACGGCTTGGAAAAAAAAAAGCAGTACTACCTGATTATCTAGTGTGCACCATTTTTGGTGGTTACCTTGAAGATCACGATTTTCGGAAGAAATTTTATGTATATAGAAAAAGTTTTTTTTTAATAAAAATTTTTTTTTAAAAATAAGAAAAAAACTTAATTCAAATCAAATTATACTTATCTCTAAAATTTGATAAGTATTCGAAGCAATTTGAAAAAGTTTTCTCATCAACATATTTAACTGCGCCATAATACCCATACTAACCTTATGTTACGTAACATCTCTCTAGATATTGGTTCTAATTCCACTTTGCTTTTGTTTTTTTTTTTAACATGTTCTATAATTAAATCAATGGGGACTACATAAGCATGTGATTTGTTAACAGGCCCTCCATGAAGTATTCCAACCAACCTTTTGTCTTTATCAAAAACTGGTGAATCCGAATCTCCTGGTGCACCTGCTCATTGTAAATTACTGTTAAATGAAAATAAAAACAATTTCAGTGATACCAAATAACAATTTACTTACCAAATGGGTTTTCATCTTCAATGCCATGCACTTTTAAGGCAAAGACGTGTTTTGGAGGGTTGAAGGCACTAGATTTAAACCTAACCCATTCATCTTCCATTTCTCCTTCGGTATGAAATGTGCTTCTGCTAACCTTTTCCACTCTTATTAATTTTCCTGAATTGCCACTTACGGAAATGTTAAGACAATTAATAGCTGTTCCGAGTCCAAACAACTCATTCGAGTTTGGTTGCACCCTATTATTATTGTAGATCCTGCAAAATACGTAATCAAGAAGACGCTTTTCGCCGTCAACATTTAAGAAACTGTATTTAGTGACTGTGGCGCAATTTTTTTTTTAGAAGGAATCTTAATTAAAAAAAAAATTGAATCAGTAAAAGAAGCCCATAGAAGATACATTTCACTATTAAATACTTACGTCGTTTTTTTTTATCTATTCTGCCTGGTTGGCATACTGGGGTGGCTTTCTTTCCGACACTGTCTTGTGGTAAGAATGTAAAATATTCCGGGATTCGATTTTATTTGAGTTAAAAGCCCCAATGTACATGCATTTTTTAAATTTCCATTCCCAATACTGATACCGAGCTTAAGCTTTTCATAATAATCGCGATGGAATGGTGGAACTGTTCCGTAATCAATAAGTACAGGATACCCCTTAAATTTGAGTTGTAGAGTAAATGGTAATGACGATCCTCTTTGCAGATCTACAGTAACGACAATAACCTCTTTTTTGTCAACTAATCCTGAACATATGTCAGATATTTCATCTTCCACAAAAAGTTTTCTGAAAGCATGCTCAGCATAAATAAATTTCCCGCGAAGCATCGCATTTGCGACTGAGAGAACTTTTCGCTCACCGAGTTGTTCCAATTCATCTGTCAATAATAAATTTGCATCTTATTTGATTTTCTCCGCTTTGAATATAGCATTGTGGCTCAAGGTATGCTGATATGCCTTTCACATGGATGCTTTAAGAGGTAGCACCTAATTGTTTTGATATACCAAAATCAGTTATCAGTGCCTACCGTCATTTATCAAAATATTCATAGAATTTCATTTAAAAACATTATCAATTCAAGTTTGGGACGGAAATTAGAATATTTAAAATAGATCTTACTAAATCTCGGTGAATAATATTTTTATTATGTAAATGATTTAATCCAAGTGTGATTTCTTTTGCAATCCGGAAGAGTTCAACCTAGAGCTTGTACCCGCCTAAAAATTTATGCTCCGGGTTACCTCAAATGATTCAGAGGTAACCCGGTGAACCGGTTGACCGTTAATTTATGTTATTTATGTCCTTTTTCGGAATATTCCCCCCGAAATTTTATGACCTTGCTCGTTCATTGATATTCTATTTCGTAACTTTTCGGAGCCCCTATCTCTCACCATTCTTATTTAACCAGATACCGGATCAACCGGTTAAGCATAATTTATTCCGGGATATTGTCAAAATAACGGTTCCCGGGTTGTCGGATAAACGGGTACAAGCTCTAATTCAGTTCACGGCGTGAACTGAATAGATTAGCAACCAAAATTCAGCAGATCGGATCGGCGTTGCCCAAAATCGCTAATAAACTTTGAAATTCATAGCCCACTTATTAAGTAAAGCTGCCCAAATTATAATTTTGCTACGTATAGTATGGTTGACCAGCATTATTGCTTACAGCTGTTTTCATAAATTCTGGGACATCTGGCAAAAAATGGTCCGAACAAATATTGCCGGTTCGAATATTTGTTCGGACCATTTTTTGCCAGATGTCCCAGAATTTATGAAAACAGCTGTAATACCAATTAACCCCGATGAATTCCGACCCGGTTGACAATTATTTATTCGGTTCGGTTAATCGATTAGCTTTTTTTTACTCGGTTCAAATCACTTGCATTATTCATTTTTTACAGGAGGCCCTCCTGCAAAAAATGAACAGCAAGTGGCAATGCAAACACATAACCAGTGTACGATACATATAAGCTAGTGATTATATGTATTTTCTAAGAATGGACTTTTTCTAATTGGATATTGTTTATATTTTATTACGTATAATATGTATAATGCTATGCCAAAATTTGAGATTATCAATGCTATCTAAATGCATAGAAATGTCTTTCACGAACTTTATATATT